TAATATTAATAAGGAAACAATAACTCTTAGTCTTCAGCTTTCTTAAATTAAAAATTAAATATAAAAATGTCATAAACTTGTTACTATGTTCATTAGGCCTACACCATTAGCATTAGTACAAATACTACTAAAATACTAAAAAAAAAACAATGTCGTGTGCTTAACCACTACAACAGAATAACGATTATTTTTTAATTAAGTTGACAGTGACTAAACAAACTATAACTTACTCATTCCAACAAGGGTTTTCAGCGTCATTTTGTTAGTAAATTAAATACACCTTCTCGCTTCTCTCCTGTCACTGTAATAAATGCAGTCTAATCGATGGATGGCGCTACAGTAGTTTTCAAAAGATCGAATAAATTATAAGTCTTAAATAAATTAAAGAAATATATAAGGGAACATCTTTTTCAATGTTTCATTATGCATTTATTATTATCATTGTTTCACAAGCTTTCGGCTCCAAATACCTTTCAAAACTTTTTGATTAGTTCATGGGATTGAAAAACTATAAAACTAAAATATACGCGAAAGTTCAACGAATTCTTTGTTTAAAAAAAATCCACGTTCCTCTGGCGTACATAGCATAGACAGCCCATGGTGTTAGCTTTGTGTTTAACAACACACTTATACCAAAGAGTCAACATTTCAGCCCACGGTGTGGCTTTGTGTTTAACAACACACTTATTCCATAGAGTCAACAGTTTTATGTCTTCTTGATTTCATTCCAAATAGATCTTACTAGCATTTCAAAACTGAAAAGCTCTTTTTTGAGTCACTTTCAAGTATTCTTTATTTTCTTTACCAAAATCAAAAAATGTTTTTTAGTCCACTCTAAATATACCTTACTACGTTCATTAAAACTTGTACAAACAGAAAGTTAAAATAAACATCTGACAACTAATAAAACTAAAATTTTTCAGTTTACAAACAACTGCATACTTTGGATGAGTTTTGTAATTTAAACATCGTTCTTCTTTTAATCTTCAAGATCTTTTAAACAATGCTATAAGCATTGTAACAAATATTTTGTAAGTTTATGATCTAATATCTGTCTTTACAAAAGTTCTTGCTCCAGAATGCTATAAGCATTGTAACAAATATTTTGTAAGTTTATGATCTAATATCTGTCTTTACAAAAGTTCTTGCTCCAGAATGCTATAATCATTGTACCAAATATTTTGTAAATTTATGATCTGATATCTGTCTTTATAAATGTTCTTACTCCAGATGCTATAACTATTGTGATGAATAAACTAAGGAAAGACAAATCATTACACTGATGTACACAACGTTTTTTCGACTCATTAGAATAACGACACAGCCTTTGTTTAAAATCAATTTTTTTTCTCGAACATTTTTCATCATAACTGACTTGACGCAAACAGTTTCTGTCATTTGCAAACTTCAAGACACTGAAGAAGAAACTCTAGAAACGTCAGTCCAGACCCTGAAAATCTGATTTCGTTTATACTTTAGATGGGGTACCTCGTGGTTTTCGAATTCAAGGTATGTTTCAAACCTTGATGTCAGAATATAAAATTAAAATCGTTTT